CGCAAGCAACTCAGCTGCACATAACAATATAGGTCGCAGGCGACTTGATGGCACATAACAATAATCACTAATATTACATACATTAAAATTCTACTAATGGTTATTACGTATCAACAGGAAACTATCAGAAATGCAAGCTTCATTCAGAAGAGGCAATGGAATTAGGCCATGGACATTGCTGATGTCAGATATATCGTCAGTCAAAGCTGAGATCAGAAAGACCTTTGCTTGTGCTTTATTGTCTATACAAAGGCATTCAGCTGTGTGGATTATAATAAATTATGGATGTTTTTGAGAAGAATGGGAATCACAGAGCTCTGCACTGTTCTTGTGTGGAACCTGTACGTGAGCCAGAAAGCAATTATTTGAACAGAAGAGGACACTGTAGTTTAAAATCAGGAAAAGTGGCCACCAGAGTTGTTTCCTTTCACTACTATCAACACTGTTCAATATGTTTACTGAACAAATAATCTGAAAAACCAAACTAGATAAAGAAGAACATGGATCAGGATTGACGGAAGGCTCATCAATGATCTGTGATATGGAGATGGCACTACCTCGCTTCCTGAAAGGACAGAGAAAGTACAGCACTTACTGAAGAAGATCAAAGACTTCAGTATGGACTGCACCTCTGCATAACCCTTGCCTTTGACGAGGTTCCAGCTCATAGCCGCCCTCCATCGAGTGTCTGAGGATGTAAATCTTTAGAGGAGGAGACTGTGCATTTTACTCCTGAGGAGTAATTGGTGGATTTGAACTCCCAACCTGTTTTGATATGCCTAATATGTTACTCATTAACCACTATGTCACCTGTGCTCCTTATACTTCAACATAATGAAAACTGTAATCCTTATAATTAGACCAATAAACAACCTTTTGATAAATGAAGGAAAGGTGAAAGATGTTGACAATTTCATTTTTCTTAAATCCACAAACATATTCATGAAAGCAGCAACCAACAAATCAGAAGACATTGTATCATGAAAATAGACTCTGTATTCTCTTTGAAGTGCTAATGAGCAAGGATGCCAATTTAAAGACCAAGCAAGGTGTTCCTGACCTAAGCGTCAGTGTTTTCCATTGCTTTACATGTGCGTGAAAGTTGGACACTGAATAAGGAAGGCCGAAGAAAGTCTGGATTTGGTGCTGGTTTAGCATAATGAACAGACAGATCATGAACTACCAAAAGAATAAACAAATTTGTCTTTGAAATAGTTTTTGGAAGGACACAAGGATGATGAGACTTTATTTCTCATTCTTTGGGCATGCTGTTAGGAGTCTGTCAGTCCTTTGAAAAAGGACATCATGTTTGGAAAAGGAGCGGAGTCAACAAAGAAGAGGAAGCCTGTCAACAAGAAGGACTGAGAGAGGGGCTGCACCAGTGGGTTAAGCACTGAGAAGATTGTGAAGATGGCCCAGGTTTGGCAGAGTTTTGATCTACTGCACATACGTGGCCACCATGAGCCAGGATATACTCAACGGAACCTCACAACAATGGCAGCAATGAAAAATACTTTTTACATATTCCTATATTTATATTTTCAATGTCTTCATAATATTTAATAACATGCTTTTTTTTTCCTCCATGTTTCAATATTACTGACTCAGAAAAATCTGAAAGCTCAAACTCATTGCCTTTGAGTATCATGAACTCACAACTGATGCTCCAGTGGATTTTTGGAGGCTGTGAATCACATGGGAGGGTTTTGTCCATCATTATCCCTCATAGCAGCTGGTGGATTGAAACCAGTATTCAATATGGATTGAAGTTCAATATCAAGAAAACAAAGATTCTCACCACTGAGCTGATTGGCAGTATCATGATAGATGGTGAAGAGATTGAGATTGTTAACAGCTTTAGTTTGCATGGCTCCACAATCAACACTCTTGGCACCAGCAGCCGGGAGATTAAAAGACGTATTGCATTGGGAAAGTCTGCTGTCAGAGATATTGACAAAGTATTGAGGAGCAACAATGACAGTCTAGGAACAGATGTGCCTGATACAGGTCATGATTTGCAATCACTTGCTATGCATCAGAGAGCTGGACAATGACTAGGAATGATCTAAGGAGAATTGATGCCTTTGAGTTGTGATGCTGGAGAAGAGTATTGAGTACACCATGTACTGCTAAGAGAACAAACAGGTTCATCTTGGAGAGGGTGAAACCAGACTGCTCCTTGGAGACTCCGTGGAGAAGGACATCATCCTTGGGAGGGTGGAGGGACAGCACAAGAGAGGAAGACCCTCAATGGGATGGGTTGATTCAGTGACTTGTGGGTGGGGGTGGGAGTGGGAGTGTTGGAGATGTGGGGTTGGCACAGGATAAAGCAGGGTTTAGGACTGTTGTATGTAACAGCATAGTCCCTCCCCCCCCCCAACATAGTCCCTTTATTTGTATACTAAATCAATCCGGATCCAACAGAGCCCTCGTGTACAAGTTGCCGTCCCGCAGTCACTTGCGGTTGCTGTGAGGCTGAACACTATGATACGGATGTGTCAAATGTGTTAATGGTTGGCTACCCAGTGCGGACTGAGAGTGGGGTGGAGCTCCCGGATTAAACAAGCGTGGAAGGAGGAGTGGCGTCCACCTCTATAATAGCTTGCCTCCGGAAAACCTGTGAACCTGGAGAGAGGATGAAAGGCACCCAAGCGTCGAGGACTCTCCTTCATAGGGTCGCTATGAGTCGCCTGCGACTCGACGGCACTTAACAACAACAACAAATCAATCCATGCATGATGTGTAACAATTACAGGGTAATCTACAGCCCAGGAATAGACAAAAAGTATCAAACCAAGTTGTTTAAAGAACGGTTCAAAAAAATGTAACAAACCCTCTAGGATCTAACCATAACAAAGATTTAGAGGGCTTGAAGAGAAAAATCTTTCAAGCTGTTTTTCCATTGAACCAAGGCAAAAGGCCATATAAAAAGCTACTTTGAAAATATAAATATATGTTATATTAAGTCTTTTGTATATTATGTGTGTATTTTCTGATAATTTTTTAGAAGCTTGACATACTTCTTCCTCTACTGTGTAATTCTATTTCTGTTCTTTCTTTCATTGTCATATTTCTAGAATGAGCGGTATTTATTTACACTTCATTTTACCCAATAACTAGTATTTCTGAATTTCTTGAAATACAATTTTTATGATCATTGTATTGGAACAGATAAAGGAAAGAACTGTCTAAAAGGAATATATGAAAAAAGATCCCAGAGTGACAATTGTCCTTGATGGTCACTGTTCACTTCACTGTAACTGATCTGTAACGTTTTAGGAAAGGACAATTCTTAATGCATCTGCCATTTCTCACATGTTGGAATTGGCCTGCTTCCTGAAGATGTTGAATGAAGTTTCCAGGATGCTCGAAGATGAGGGATCTTTTTGGTGAAGTCTTTCTGCGTCAAGTTGGAGTTATGGAACCAGGAGTCTCAGGACCTGGGATGCCTCAGCCTTTCCTGTCTAAAAATATCCAGCTTGTTGCTGGAACTGTGCTTCTTTTAGAAGAAGATACTTTTACCAGTAAAGCACATTCCATCTGTGTTAAAGGGTCAAAAATCTAGGACTGAAGCCCTGGGAATAAACTTGATGAAGCAGGGCATTTTATATGACAACAGCTTTGCTGCTTACCAATGCCTTGGTTAGTGCTGCATCCCTGAAATCTGCCATATGTGATAAAGAAAGACTGTGGAAATAAAAGGAATATATGAATAGGCATTATACATAAGACAACAGCCCAGAATAAGAGATAAGAGATAAGAATACTGGGAGTAGGGAGGAAGTAGGTAATTGTGCAACATGAATTTTTTTTTTCTCAAAAAAAAGTGAACTGGGGGAGTGGGAAGGGAGAGAGGGGGTAAAATGTGCAATAATGAGTGAATGAAAATCTAAATTATCTGCAAACGTTTATTAAAATCACAATTAAAATTTTTTAAAAGTTCAATGTCATTGTCTTTTTGGGGGGAAGACATTGTAGTATTTTTATTGACAAAGTCTCGGGGTTCTCTGTTCCATCCTCATCTTGTCTCTTCCAGTGCAATTGTCACCCATGATGTGTTCCTCTAAATCATGAAGATAACACTTCAGTTTTCTTCAACCTAAATTCTACCCCGTTTTATAATTCCAATTAAGCACTGAATATTTCAGTCTTTAACTTCATTAGATCTGTTTTCGCAATCCAGTTCTTTTGATTTTCTTCAAATCACACGGTTCAATCTTGTAATCTTTGTTGACGCCTCCCTCTTCTATCCCTTCTCCTATCCCATCCAGTTACCATGTCTTACAACTTCTGTTAAGATAGAGAATGTACACTCAGTTGTCATCACGCTCTTTTAATCTATTATCGGCAGGTGCAGGAATTATTTCTAAAATTCCTATCTCTTCCTCATTAGCCGATAATGGTATCTTCAGAGTGATGTGAAGAAGAAACATGTTAGTTTAACGAATACTTGGTAACACTGTGGACGATTAAGAAAGGTGTGATAAATATGTCACTGGACCCCCTGACCTGTGGTAATGGGAGTAGAAAAGAGGGAGGTAAAAATCAACTGACCAATTAGGCTGGAAGTATTTACTCACTTTGTATTTCACACCCATGATTTAACTACATCAAGTGCATTTCTGCTAAGTGAGCAATACCCGCTTCTGTAAGAACTGTCATGCTCCAACCGGGCCAACCAGCCTCCACCATCCAGATGGCCGATCCCAGATTGGCGGCCTGAGAGTGTCATGGAGCGGGGCTCTCTAGCTGCCGTCTCTATGGTTCGGGGGAATCTCCAGGTCCCTACTTGACCGCTCGGGCTTTTGCGCGTGCGCGATCCCAGGCGCGTGCCCACCCTCCCGCAACTGTCCAAACCCGGGTGTGGGAGGGGTGGGTCAGGGAACGTTGCGGCGGCGGCCGTGGCCGCTGCGGCCCCAACACCCCGGCCATTCCCGGACCGAGCTTGCACCGGGGAGACGTCCGCCGCCCTTTTTCGGCGGCAGTCACTCGGCCCTCCGATGGTGGGTCCCGAGGATGCTGGAGCTTGTTCGGGACGAAACCCCAAGTTGCTCCCTGTGCCGGCGCCGGAGCTGGCGGGCCAGGACGGGAAGATGATCCGGGCCACTGGCGGCTTTGGCGGAGGCGTCGGCGCTGTGGAGCCACCGGAGGAGGAGGAGGAGGAGGAGGAGGAGGAGGAAGAGAAGGAGGAGACGCCGCCTCGTCAGCTCCTTCAGCGTTACCTCGCGGCGGCCGGGGAGCAGCTGGAGCCGGGACTCTGCTCCTGCCCGCTCGCGGCCGGCCAGGCCCACGCCCCGCCGTTCTCGGCAGCCGCACGCTCGGGCGCCTGCCTGCTAGGCTCGGGCTCCAAGCTCCGTGGCACAGAGGCGGCGGCTGGCTGCGCGCCCCGGCACGGAGGCATGACCAACGGGGACTCGGGCTTCCTGGCCGACCGGGACTGTCGCAGCCTGGAGGACGCTCACGGGTTACCCCGCGTCGGCGGCTGGGAGCCGCGCGGCCGCCCCCGCTGCGGCCGCTTGTGCCTGGAAAGGCCTGGTGACGGGGACGCGGACGGCGCGGGCAGCCCCTCGGACTGGGCCGCGCCGCTGGAGGACCCGCTGCGGAGCTGCTGTCTGGAAGGCGCCGACCCCGTCACCCACGAGGGCGCGAGCAGCGACTCGGGGGGCAGTTCTGTGAGCGGAGGCGGCAGCAGCGAGGACTTGGAGCACCCGGGAGGGGGCGCCGGGGGTCCCCAGGAGGGCACGTCCCCCGCCGCCTTGACCGAGAGGACTAGCGGGGGCGCGGGCGCCGCGTCGCGCCCGGCTTTCTCCGACGTTTACTTGAACTCTCGGAACACGTTCGAGGTGAGCCGCCGACACAGCGCCGGCGACCACCTGTCCCCGGAGGTGGCGCCGCAGTCCCCGCCCGCTGCAGAGCCGGGGCCGGTGGGGGCGGCGGCCCGAGCGCGACGGAGCGGCGGCTTCGCCGAGTTCTTCGCCAGGTACGGCGGGCGTTCGGGGAAGGCGCGGGCCGGGCGCGGCGGGAAGCGGCTCGGCCCGTCTCGGCGGAGCCCCGCGCGGCAGCACTGAGCTTTGATTTACCTCCCGGGGAAGAGGAACTGGGTCGGCTCGGTCTCTTCCAGGCCACTTGGCGAGCTTTTCGGCGCGCGAGCCTTGCTATTACTCCATCGGCCCCACCTGCCATTCACACCTGACACCCGAGCCCAGTTGGCGAGCTAGTGCCCAGCCTGCAGTTTTGCCACTTCCGGAAAAGCAATCGAATTGGGCCCCGATTTCTTTGCAAAACTCGTTTTGATTGTCCTGGGGGACAGATATATGTGTACGGGTGTGGTTGTGTGAAAGAGAAAGGGAAGTCACTTTGCAGAGCTATTGAGTCGGAATCTTAGAGCCTTTCAATTAGTTAGGAAATGAGAAGAAATTGTGTATGCTAGTGCTTGATCCAGTGGGTTCGGTTTGGTGATCCCAACCTTTTAATCTTGAAAATCCTTCTTTTCTATTTCCTCCCTAGATAGACATGGATTCCCCCTCCCCAGCAGCTATTTTAGGGTTTTTTTTCTTAACACACTGCCAATTTAAAAAATATTACAGTGAATATATAGGTCACAAAATATTTGTCACGTCAACATATTTTCAGTTTATTTCAGATTGGTTATGATATCCTTGAAGAGAAAATACATCGTTTTGTTGCTTTAGTAGGGATAAATAAAGGAATAAGTAAAGGATACCCCTCCCCACTTAAGTCTCTTAGGAAAAGATCTACAATTTGTAGATCCTCACTTTCAACGTTCTAATGTGTATTTCTTCCCCTTTTCAGTGATATTGACTATAACCAATTGTGAAAGAAGCTTACAAATATTGTAGCAGTAGTTTTTGAGGGCAATACAATTAGTATGCACACACTAATTAGTAGACACACTAATTAGTAGACAGGATATTCAGGGACAATTTCCTGGTTGTCATTTATATCCCTCATTTCTCTTTCTACTTTGTTTTCTCTTGTTCTGATTGCTTGTGTAAATTTAAAAACATTCTCTGCAATTACTTAAATTGAGAGTGGAAAATCTTGATCTTGTGTCATTCATAGTGAGATCTGTACTTGTTCCCATGTTACTAGACTCTCAAGTCTTTTAATTCATAGTGTTCCCAGGTGACAGTAGAACTGACCCATGCATAGGGTTTTCTAGTCTTTGCTGAAACAGATGGACAAATTGCCGAGCCTCTGCATGAGTTTGAATCATCCACCTTTCAGTTAAGGCACTGAATGGATTGAACCTTGGGAGCTCACTGCATGTGCCTATAGTTGCAAAACATTTGTTACTTCTTTAAAGAGTAGCAATTATTTAAAAAAAATAATCTCAAGGTAACTTAAATTTGTATATTTATGACCCTGTGAAGTGTTTGAATGTGTATTGGTTATCGTATTGATCTTGATTATGCTTTGATATCAGGTCAGTGGGGCAATTTTAGACCTGCCAGAGGTTTATCAAGATTACTTATTCAACCAGTACAGCCTGAATTCTTGCTCTGCGCCATGCATTGAGAGTAGAGATAATTTGAATAATGCTTTTGACCTGAAGGTAGAGTGTAGGATGGTGGGCATTACATTTGAAGACACGTGTGTATGCATGTGTTGCAGTTTGTGAATAGTAACAAGGCAAACCTGCCATAAAGGACTTTATATTATTAACAGTAGACAGAAATTTTGAGCTAGTTTTTAAAATAGTGTTCAATTTGTAGACTGATGTTATTACCTACTGTCAAGTAGGAGCCAACTCACAGGTGACCCACCAGCAGAGTTTCAGAGATTGCCCATCTTTCTCTCATGGATCAGCTGGTGGATTCAGACCACCTGCCTTTGAGGTTGCAGCTTTAACCACTAGGCCACTGGAGCTCCCTTGTAGACTTAATTTTATAAATACAGCTAGTTGGCACATAAGACATATATGCTACAGTGCTATATCAGAAGTGAAAAATCTTTGGTGTCTGAAGTTAGTTTCTCTAAGCTTCCTTTTTTTTTTAAAAAAAAAGATAAAAATTGGAATATCAGATATTTTGCATTCTTAAGAAAAGATAAAGTCAGAAAAGGCTCAATTTTTCTCAACATTTGACTGAAACTTTAACTGGATTCGGACTAACTGTAAAGACAGGGATGTTTTTTTCCGCATCTATAATATGTAACACCGGTATGAGAACCCCATGCCAGTGATGTTGAATTGGACCCTTTCCTGGATCCATCTTCAGGACCGTTCTCTAGATAGTATGCTCCCTCCTCAAGTTCATCTATTCCTTTGCAGAGTAATCAGAACTAACCCTCACCCCAGTAATCTCCCTTTGGGGATATCTTGTTCTAGGATGGATTCTTGTTCCTGAATGCAGGCATTACTCTCATTTCATTTTCAGATGAGGAAGCTCAATGTCTAAAGAAAGTCGTTTGGTTAGCTATTCATAGAGAAAGAATTAGAAGTCAGGATTACATTCAATCACAGCACTGTTCATTCACCTATGGCTCTTTTCTTTCCACCTGATTGTCCTCTCTTCCCATTTACATGTCGTCCTACTCCCTCTGGGCAAAATCTATAACAAAAAAATTGTAGAGACAATTTCATATTAGTTTTAATTTAGGGAGAGAATACTGACCTTAAGCATATGTATAGCAGTGTATCTTTTACTACAAAGTATAGCAAGGAGGGACCAGTCCTTGGAGAGGGACATCGTGTTTGGGAGAGTGGAGGGACACAGCGCAAGAGAGGAAGACCCTTGATGAGATGGATTGTGTTAGTGATTGGAGTAATGGGAGTAGGTGTGTCGGAGACAGTGAGGTTGGCACAGGATAGAGCAGGGTTTAGTGCTTAAGTGCATAGAGTTGCAATGAGTCGCAAGCAACTCTAGGGCACATAACAGTAATAAGGCTCAGCAGGGATGTCGTTAACTTGACTAGAAACTCTCGCTGGTAGAAGATGAAGAACTAGGATCTGGAACTAGGAATGTAACTGTTCTCATTTTGGAAGGACTCTGGCCTTCTTCCGTTCCCCTGCAGATAGGTTGAGTTCTGCTCTGTGTGGTCCACTGTGAGGAGGTGCTTCAACTTCACCTGGCTGTGTGTCTATATATTGTGGCGTGGCTGTGCTCTAGAAGTAACATTCTCTTGAATCCTTGGCCCTTTCTTGTCAAAGTGTTGAATGCTGTTTAGGTACCAAACTCCACAGACTCCACCAACTCAGCAGTGATGAGAGGAGTTGTTTTTGTTTCAGTTTTGTTGTTGTTATGAGACTATCCACAGCAGAATATACGCCAATTCATTATTTGTACATGCACAGTTTAGTGACACTGAGTATATTCAAGTTGTGCAACCATTCTCACCCTGCTTTTCTAAATCCGTGCTGCTGCATTCATATACCTCACTGTCCTCTGGCATTCCTGGCCTAATGTGTTTAGTTGCTTTTGTCAATTTCAAGGTTGGCTCAGAATAGAAAAGGGTTCAGAGCTGTTGTACATGTAGTGTTCTTATGTGTCGCAGGCAACCTGACAGCACGTAACAACAGTCCTTAAGAGCATAATGCCCAAGGCAGACATTTTGAACTATTTAAATGAAACAGTTGTTTGTATTGAAGAAGATTTCAGAGCATATTTTTTGGTCTAGGTATAAAGATTATCTCAGTACAGTAGTTTCAGGGCATCTAACACCCATGTCTCCAGAAAGTTTGGAATCAGTGAGAAGTTTTAATTATCTTGTGTATTTTCCTCCTTTTGATGAAGAAATGGATTTTTTAAATTATTATTAGTTTTGCGTGTGTGTGTACCATCGAATTTGATCTGACTGGTACAGGAAGAGATTGCCCCTCCTTCTCCAGCAGAGTACCTGGTAAATTCGAACTGAGTGCCTTCCAGATTGCAGCGCAGCTTCTTGTCACTAGGCTACCAGAGCTCCCTTAGAGATGAATTTTGTAAAAATTATTTTTATTTTATGTTGATTTGTATAGAGAATTCGTATACATTGTGTTTTGTTTATATACATTGTGTTTTACACATTCCTTTATTCACATTATGTTTCATGCATTCATTCTCATTGTGTTTTATAAAATTAATCACCGTTGATCTATGCCCACCATTAGCCCACCTTTTCAAGTCCCCGCTGGTCTTTCATCATTTCTTTACCTGCTCCCTCTGCCCACCAAACTCTGTGACCTATTTTCTCCTTCCCCCTTTGGACTTTTGTACACATCTTACTAGTAATCCTTCTATTTTTACATTAATGGTCTTATGAGGATAAATAATGTATATGTCCTCTTAAGACTGAGTTAGTTCACTCAACATGATGTTCTTCAGCCTCTCTAACATTATGTAGTATTTTTGAAAATCATTGCTTCTGAATGTGCTCAGTATTCCATTGTGTAAATATACCACTATTTTTCAAGCCATTTTTTTGTTGATGGACGTTTGGGCTTTTCCATTTTCTTGACATAGTGAATGACACTGCTATAAACACTGGTGTACAGAAATGAATTTTTAAAATAAATTTTCAGGCCAACTTTTTTTCCCCCTACAGTGATCTTTTTTTTTTTTTTTTAGAAAATGAGATATTTGTTCAAGCACATTCACATCTTAATGAATTATAAACTATAATGGCTTATTTTTTATGTGGATGCTTTCTATAAATATACATTCTAAGATTACATATCACTTCTGGATTGAGCTCTGGTAGCTTACTGGTAAGGAGTTTCACTGCCATCCCAAGGCCATATGATTTGAATCCATCAGTCTGTGGAAGAAAGATGGACAGTCTTCTCCTTGTGATTTACAGCCTCTGAAAACCCACTAGAGGGTCAACTATGAATCACTTAAGACTCAGTGGCACATAACAACAACAACAATACTTCCGAGACTTGTTAGAATTACAGTTTAGCAACATAAGTATCAGTATTTCATGGTAGTGTTGATAATTTTAAAAGAAGTCTTCATAATGAATCATAAAATCTTGGTT